TTATTTTCCTTCTTCCTCTTATCTTCTCTTTCACCATCTTTGTATTATTTGAATCTTTTTATATCTTTGTTAGTCTGTCTTTGTATTATTGCACTATTCTTTAGTTTTTTTATCATTCTTCTTATTCTTTTGAAAGGTTATTACTTGCGGCCGAAATCACTATATTTTCTTGGGGTTTTTTTGTTTTTCTCCGAGTTTTTCATTTGGAGTCGCTTTCGTCTTTGTTTTGTCATTATTCTTATTCCAATATTTATTATTCTCTTTTTTTCTTAACCGTCTTCTTTTACTCATTGTTTTTCAAATTTATTTAAACTTTGTATTCTTTTTTCGATTTTCTTCATCTTCTTTTTCCAAAGTTTTAGTTTTTTCTACGATTTTTAGTCTTCATTTTCTGATTTTTTTTTTTCTGATTTTTTTTTCTTTTTTCTTTTTTCTTCATAATCTTTTTTTATCTATTTTTTGTTTACTTTCTTCTTCTTATGGTATTTCATTTTATTTGTCTTCGTATTCAACTTCTTTTTTACCTTCTTCATTTTCTAATCTTTTGTTCTTTCTTCACTTACTTCATTGTCTACTTCTTCTTGTCCACTAAAAGAAATAAAAACAATTGAATGTTGGTCTTCTTCACTTTAATTTATGATTTTCTTTGCATTTTCGTAAAAACCAAAATAAAAAAGAACCTTAAGGTAATTCTATGATGTTATTTTTTTATATATTGTTTTAAAATAGAAAAAACAGAATTAATTTTCACGAAAGTCTCGTATTTATTATAAATGCATAAAAATTTAAAATCTTATATGTTGTAACAAATTAATTTGGTTTCTCAAAAAATAAACAGCGTTATATTTCTTAGGTGATTTTCTGATGATATTGTTTAAAAAATATTTATAAATCGGGATAACAAAATGATTTAATACAAAAATCTCGTGTTTATTCCAAATACATATAAAATTTAAAGTCTTATTGGGTGTAACAAAATAAATGATACTTTTTTTTATAAACATGTTAAAATAAATGATACTTTAAGAGTTGTTATTATTATGGACCATTTTTGGAATATCTCATTTTGTTCATCAAGAGATTTGTTGCTAAGATTAGTTGTTTTCACTTTTTTTTTCCTTTTCTCGATAGTAAAAGAGATGGGCAAATTAGATATTTCGGAACCACAAGTCGCACTCTATATGTAATGCATGGATGCAATTTTTTCTCCACGCAAAGCATGCATTATTTTCCAACTTCCAATATCAATGCTCGTGAGTGAATGGTGTTCAATTACTCTATTTTTATCCTATTATCATTTCTGTTTTTTAATTTGTCAAATTTAAACCTATTTTCCAATATAAAAAAGCAATCACTATTCATTAAAAAAAACAAAAAGTATATGAGAAAGATAATTGTGTGGAGAGAATACGATAAACAAAAAATCTTTGAGCAAGATTTGATCTTTAAAATCATTTAATGTGCATGAGATACAAAATCATAAGAACAAACTTAATATTTTTAACGAATCAAATAAAACCAAGAGCTTCACTATTAAGTATGAGAGATCAGTTTATCTTGGATTGTCACACTGTAAAACCATAAAAAAATGAAAAATCTCATCTAAGTTATCGTTTGGCTTTTTGAAATCCTAACATGAAACTAAAAAAGACCAACCAATAAAATTATCAAGGTCTC